TAAGGCTCTCACTTTCTATCCGCACTTCTACCATGCCTCCCTGCTGAAGACCTATCTGGTTTGGGCTGTTCGGCCACCTTACCCTGCGTCAGCTGACACAAGCCACGCCCCCATAAGCCAAGACCGGGGCGGAGGGAAAACTGTTGCTAGGCAAGAAGTGACGTCACGCAGGCCCTCGGGCTAGAGTGCGCAATCACAGAGCAGAAAAGAAATTTCTTTCGTCATCCAGCCATTCATGCTCCTGGATTCCTTCAATGAATATTCGCCGACCCTTCCTTTTGGGACCATCCAGGTGCTGGGCTTTGCTGGAGACAGAATTCCTGCCCTCAGGGAGCTTCCTGTCTGAAAGGAGAGAGCCCCAGACAACAATTCTGCACGGTACAGGAGCAGAGGGGCGCTGTGGGAGCCCAGATGACGGGATGCCATCCAACTTGGGAACAAACATAGGCTGCATGAATAAAGTGACACTTGAACAGCTGAGTTAATGGGGTTTGGGTATCAGTGTGAAAGGCCTTTCGTGCAGAAGACATTGCAAAGACACCTAGGGAAAAAAACAAAACAACAAAACTCGTGCAGTCTAGGAAACACTTGTAGTTAGTTGCACTTATAGTTGTGTGCTCAGTGGTCAGAGCACAGGGTGTGAGGCCAAGAGTGGCAGGTGATGAGACTCAAGAGGTCTGGCAGGGGCCAGAACTTATGTGACCTTAATTACCAATCAAGCAGCTAGACTTTACCCTGTGGGGTATGGAGTGTCATAGAAGGAAAGGTTGTGTTGACTCGCATCAATGCCCTCTCACTGGTGGTGTGCCGAATATTAGGTTGCAAATGGCCAGTCTGGAAGCTAGGGAGTAGATTTGGGGTCATTCATGTGAGGGATGTTGAGACTGGAACAGGATAGTGGCAGAAGATGAGGAAAGAAGGTAGATTTGACATACAAAAAGGAGAGACTCAACTGGACTTGGTGAGGAATCAGCTATGAGGAGACAGGAGAATTTTAGGCTGCACATAAGGCAGAGAACACAGAGGAAATTGCACAAGTTTAAGGGGGTGATTAAGACAAAGATAAGTGCCAGAGGAACTCTGAGCGCTGAGAAATCAGTGTGGGATAGAATGGGCAGAAACATGTAAAATGAGGAGGATCATTAGGAGGAGGAGGGATTCGGGCTAAGACTCACTGTGTGACTTTGGGCCAGTCATTATTTTTCTCTGGTCCTTTAGGTTTCCACCTGCTAAACTGGGAGATGGAGAATGATAATTGGGAGGAATGAATTATATAAGAGAATGTTCAAGAAATGCCTAGCCCTGTAGGCAATATGGATGGGAAGCATGTGGCAGGTGTGTTTGGTCCAGGGTGAGGTGGCGCTGGGTTGCCATTTGGGCAACAGCAATGCCACAGGCAGGAGGACACACATACATTGCAGAAAAAAGAGGGCGCAGGGGAGGGGAAATGTGACCTGGACACATGCGTGTTGGATATGAGGAGCTCAAAGGCCAAGGCAGTCAAATCAATGTTACCCTGGGAGGCCCTGTCTTGGCAGTCAGCAGAGAGGGGCTTCTCTGGACCGTGACTCCTAGACTGCCACTTCCTCAGGAAATACCCAGGTCTGTGAGGCCCGAGTCCTCTGGGTTTTGATCCCAAGTCACCACCAGAATTGCTGTGTGAAGCTGAGTCTGTTCTGAACCACTCTGGGTCCAGGTTCCTCATATGAACAACACAAAAAGGCATGTGTGTGTTGGTGGGGAGGTGGATGAAACATTTCGAAAGGTCCCCTCCTGGTTTGTTATGCTTCAGTTCCATGGCCCTAAGTCCTTTTTAGAAAAGTCTAGTCCTGTCTCTGACTTGCTGTGTGGTGTTGAGCCAGCTGCTGGACCTCTCTGGCCCTATTTTCATATCTGAAATATCAGGAGATTGGGGAGGAGAGTCTCCAGCGTCCAATGATTCTCCCTAGAGGACGGTCACTCTCATCTCCAGCTGAAAGCTTCAGACAAATCAGAGGAAAGTGAGGCACTGGTCACAGACCACCCCCCTTCCAAATCTTCTGTCTTCTCCCACCGCCCTCCCCTCCGCACTGTCAGGAGCTTGCAGCACTGGCTTGCTTGCCAAACTTGTTGCCATGACAACGGGTTACAAATAACTCAGATGCAGACGAAGATTTTAACCCAAGAGCTGCTGGGCCAAGGGCTTCTTGCTCCCTCCTCAGACCAGACTGAGGGAACAATCTCATAGATTCGCACAAGATGGTCAAGGTTTCTCAGTGTCACAAAAAGAAGTCCTGGCATTCCAGGCCCTCCAAAACCCTGATTCAAATCTTTCCAATCACATTTGCCGCTTGCTTCCATTAAAAAGCGATCATTCCAAAAAAAATTAGCCGGGCATGGTGGCACGCACCTGTAGTCCCAGCTACTCAGGAGGCTGAGGCAGGAGAATCGCTTGAACCCGGGAGGCAGAGGTACAGGGAGCTGAGATCGTGCCACTGCACTACAGCCTGGGTAACAGAGTGAGACTCCATCTCAAAAAAAAAAGTGATCACTCCTATTTTTTTTGACACCTACTGTATACCAAGCCCTGTGTTGGATGCTTTACATACAGTATCTAAGGAAATCTTCCCAGAACCCTATCAGGTAGACATGACTATTCTACCTGGGACTATATTTTACCTGGAACATTATTTTATAGAGAAGAAAACTGAGGCCCATGGATATGAATTGAGCAAGGAGGTCCAAAGAGTCAGAATTCGAACGGGTGCAGTGGTTCACGCCTGTAATCCCAGCACTTTGGGAGGCCGAGGCAGGTGGATCACCTGAGGTCAGCAGTTCGAGACCAGCCTGGCCAACATGGTGAAACCCCATCTCTACTAAAGATACAAAAAATATTAGTTGGGCGCAGTGGCGGTTGCCTGTAATCCCAGTTACTTGGGAGGCTGAGGCAGGAGAATCGCTGGAACCTGGGAGGCGGAGGTTGCAGTGAGCCAAGATCACGCCATTGCACTCTAGCCTGGGCGACAAGAGCAAAACTCCATCTCAAAAAAAAAAAAAAAAAAAAGGAGTCAGAATTCAAACCCAAACCCGTCAGATTCCCAAACCCAGGCTTTTTCTATTGCCAGTGGTTCGTAAATGTTGGTCTACAGACTTGGTGTTTCCAGAAAATCTGGAGCAGTTGAAATTCAGATAGTACTGCCATTCAAGAAGGTGGAATGCATTTGTCTCCTCTAATTCCTAAGACTCCACAAAATAAAAGGATCAAGGGTATAAACTCACAACTCCAAAGAAAACTGGAGGAGCTCCTATCAATGGGAGAGAGATTTCAACAACTTTCTGGCAAGCAGAAAGGGGGTGGGAGGGATGGTAACTGAGAAAGCAGGGCAGGGAAAGGCATGAGCAGAGTCCACATGTGGGAAGAGATCCACTGGGAGAGAGCTCATCTACCCTGCCAAATCCTGGAGAGGTGCAGTAAAGGTATCCTGATGGTGGGAGCAAGACATAAAGCCTCAAACATAATTGAAAGTGTGTGAAAGTGTCTGTTGGAACAGTTAATCTCCCCCAACTCATGTTGGAACAGTTAATTTCCCCCTTATCTCCCCCATGCTCATGGGTAGAAATCACACCAGCCAACAAGTATCTACACTCCAGCAAAATATCAGCGGGTTCTCCAAAGAAACCAAACAGTCCCAAAGCAAAGGCCTCTATTTTCCATACTTAGGGGTCCTCCAGCAGATTGTACAGGTCCTTAGTCACTTTAAAGGGACTTGACAAACACCTGCCCTTACACAGGGCTCCAAATTAATCAACTTTTTATTTTTAAAATAGACACCAGGTTTCTCCGTATTGCCCAGGCTGGTCTCAAACTCCTGGGCTCAAGCGATTCTCCCACCTTGGCCTCCAAAAGTGCAATGATTACAGGTGTGAGCCACCATGTCCGGCTCAACTTTTTATTGTGTTCTTGTTAAATCAATGGGCCAGGCTGGGCGCGGTGGCTCACGCCTATAATACCAGCACTTTGGGAGGGCGAGACAGGTGAATCACCTGAGGTCAGGAGTTTGAGAGCAGCCTGGCCAACATTGTGAAACCATGTCTCTACCAAAAATACAAAAATTAGCTGGGCATGGTGGCAGGCACCTGTAATCCCAGCTACTTGGGGGAGGCTAGGGCATGAGAATCGCTTGAACCCAGGAGGTGGAGGTTGCAGTGAGCCAAGAGTGTGCCACTACACTCCAGTCTGGGGGATAGAGCAAGACTCTATCTTAAAAAAAAAAAAAAAAAATCAATGGATTGATAGGTTTGAACATTTGTGAAGAAAAAAGATTTATGAACAAACTGATGAAACAAATGGGAAAAACTAAGACTAGGCACATTTCAAGTGTGGGAAAAGACCAAGCAATTATTAAAATCAGGAATATAAAAAAATGAAAAAAAAGGTAATTATAGTATACTTCTTGGCTCTGTAGTGACTACTGATTTACTAGAAGTTGGGATATAAACATATTGGAAGAATGAAGGGAGGGAAAGTAGGTGTGTGTGTGGAAGAGACAGAAAAGAGGTAAATCCTGTTCTACCATAAGATGTCAAGAGATAATGTCTCAAATTGCTACATTAGGAAATAATGGTGGCCAGGCTCGGTGGCTCATGCCTGTAATCCCAGAACTTTGGGAGGCTGAGGTGGGCAGATCACTTGAGGTCAGGAGTTTGAGACTAGCTTGGCCAACATGGTGAAACCCTGTGTCTACTAAAAATACAAAAATTAGTTGGGTGTGGTGGCAGGCACCTGTAATCCCAGCTGCTCGGGAGGCTGAGGCGGGAGAAATGCTTGAACCTGGGAGGCGGAGGTTGCAGTGAGCCAAGATCGCGCCATTGCACTCCAGCCTGGGTGTCGCAGTGAGACAAGGAAGGAAGGAAGGAAGGAAGAAAGGGAGGGAGGGAGGGAGTGAGGGAGGATATGATGAGGAACCATGGTGGTCCATCAGTTACAAATCCTTTCAGCTACAAGTAACAAAAAACTCAACTGATAGTAGCTTAAACACATATGGCTTTATTTATTTTTTCAGTTAACAGGAACTGTGGCACGGGTTCAGCTGATCAATGATGCCATCAAGAAATTGGGCTCTTTCTGACTTGCTCCCTTCACATGTTGTCTTCTTCCTCGTGCTCATCCCCACATGGTCACAAGATGGCTATCACAGCTCCAGACGGCATGACTATATTCAAAGCAGAAAGAAAGAAGCAGACAACATCAGCTATGTGTGCCTCTGCTCAGGAAAGCAAATACTTTTTCAGAAGGCCCTCAGCCAAACATCTCACTGGCCAAAGCCAGGTCACGTAGTCATCCTTAGCTGCAAGGGAGGCTAAGAAAGTATCTGGCTCTTCAGCCTCTGAGTGGGAGGTGGCAAGGAACAAGGGATTTGGAAGTAGTTGCCTCTAGGGAGCAGGACCGGCAGTGGGAAGGAGTAGGACAGGATATTGCTGGGTTTTATTAGGCATATCTTAGCACTGTTTTATTTTTTTAAGTATGTATATGTATTCATTTGATAAAAATTAAAAATTAGGCCGGGTATGGTGGCTCACACCTGTAATCCCAGCACTTTGGGAGGCCGAGGCGAGCGGATCACCTGAGGTCAGGAGTTTGAGACCAGCCTGACTAACATGGTGAAACCCTGTCTGTATTAAAAATACAAAAATTAGCCAGGCATGGTGACACACGCCTGTAATCCCAGCTACTCCAAAGACTTAGGCAAGAGAATCGCTTGAACCCAGGAGACCAAGGTTGCAGTGAGCCAAGATTGCGCCACTGCACTCTAGCTGGGCGACAGAACAAGACTTGTCTCAAAAATAATAAATTAAATTAAATTAAAATTAAAAAATAAAGTGTTATGGTTTCTATGAAAAAAGAAATCTTAAAAATAAATGCTGGTAATAGTTTTCTATTTCCAGAGCAAAGGATAGCAATTCACCTTGGAAGCAAACTTACCAGAATACGCTCTTTACTTAGACTGAGGTATCTCAGGTATACACCTACTGATCTTAGAGAAAATTGTGCTATCACTATTAACCTGAATGTGGCTGATGGAAACCAGGACAGCTCTGTGTAGCAGTTAACACTGGTTGACTGTGGTTAGACAGTCCTGGTGCAATTTCCTGTCTGCCATTTATTAGCTCTGTGACCCTGGGCAAATGACACCCGGGAGCTTCATTTTCCTTGTTTATGAAATGAAAGTAACTCAAGTGCCTGCCACAGAGTAAGCACTCAGCAGATATCCACTATGATTAGAATGTTAAATGTTCTGTGTACTGATATTATCTGGGTGTCCTTTATAGTACTATGCTTCCACTGAGTTAATTTTTTATCCTAAACATGAATTGGGACTAGATTCATGTTTAGTCTCAATTCATGTTGGGACTAAAATGCCCAACTGAAAATTGTTTGTTTTTGAGAGATATGTGTGCATATTTTTTCTCAGGCCTTTGCTCACAGAAGATACCCCATTGGGACCACATCAGGAGACATGCAGATTTGAATTGCTATTGACTCCTGTTGGAGGAAGCACTGTAAAAAGGAATGAGGCTGGATTGTTGGCCCTACTACATACATGGTTATTTAACTTTAAAACAACCTACTCTGTGACATGTGCTGCTGAGTACTGTGATGGCCTCTTATGGGCTACGGAGCCCAGATCACCACTGTGAGGCAGGTGTGTTAGAATCCCAGAAAGAAAATTGATATGGCGAGTGTTACATGGGAGCAGGAAATGCAGTTGGCCTGGGAGTGGAGAATGCGAAAATGGCCTCCTCTCTTTGATGCCATGGTGAGAGCTGGAGACCTGGATTGCAGGCAGGGAGCACATGGCGAGAGCCATATGGTGGTGGAAGACAATCTTGCCCACACATGGTATGAAACTGGGAGGTTATGGAGAGGGACAGCCAGTAGGCAGTGTTCCTCAGGAAGGCATAAGTGACCTTCTCCTGGAGAGGTTATATCTGGTATCCTTTGAAATGTTTCCTGTCTGGCCTGATAATTATCTTCTGTTATCTGTAAGATGCCAGTAAAGTTCTATTAAGTACACATACATAGACGATACTTCATCCATTAAAAAAAAGAAGAAAAGGATGCTATGAAAAGGCATCTTTGGAGAATAAGAATGCTGAGAAATGAAAAATGACTGCCAAAATAAAGGTGTCCAGCAGAAGATAAAGTCAAAACAAGGTCCCATAATACAGAATTTAAAAAAACAAAAGACATGGAAAATACATATGTGAGAAGATAATCATAGAGGAGATCCAATATCCAACTGACAGGAGTTCTAAAAAGAACAGAGAAAGTAAGCAAAGAAATAAAACAGCAACTTCTCAGAGCAGGGGGACACGAGTCTTCAGATTGAAAGGGCCCACCCACCAGGTGCCCAGCAAAGTAGATGAGGGAAAACCCCACTGCTGGGCACATCATTGTGACATTTCAAAACACTAAGTATGAAGAAAAAAAATTAAGCTTCCAGATGTAGAGAAAACAGGTTGCCAGCAAAGGAATGACAATAATATTAGCATGTGACTTTTAATCAGCGACACTACAGGCTAAAGCAGTATCTTCAAAATTCAGAGGAAAAATTGTTTCTTTTTTTTTTTTTTTTTTTTTTTTTTTTTTTGAGACGGAGTCTTGCTCTGTCGCCCAGGCTGGAGTGCAGTGGCCGGATCTCAGCTCACTGCAAGCTCCGCCTCCCGGGTTTACGCCATTCTCCTGCCTCAGCCTCCCGAGTAGCTGGGACTACAGGCGCCCGCCATCTCACCCGGCTAGTTTTTTTGTATTTTTTAGTAGAGACGGGGTTTCACCGTGTTAGCCAGGATGGTCTCGATCTCCTGACCTCGTGATCCGCCCGTCTCGGCCTCCCAAAGTGCTGGGATTACAGGCTTGAGCCACCGCGCCCGGCCGGAAAAATTGTTTCTAATATAGAATTCTAAAGCCAAACTATCATTGAAATATGAAGGTAAAATAATGACTACATAGTCAGATATGTAAAGACCCCAAAATTTACCTTTCTTAAGAAGTTACTCGAGGATGTTCTCCAACAAAATGTACGATGTGGCCAGGTGCAGTGGCTCACGCCTGTAATCCCAGCACTTTGGGAGGCTGAGGCAGGCGGATCAGGAGGTCAAGAGATGGAGACCATCCTGGACAACATGGTGAAACCCCATCTCTACTAAAAATACAAAAATTAGCCAGGCGTGGTGGTGTGCACCTGTAGTCCCAGCTACTCAGGAGGCTGAAGCAGGAGAATCGCTTGAACCCTGGAGGCGGAGGTTGCAGTGAGCCGAGATCACACCACTGTACTCCAGCCTGGGCGACAGAGTGAGACTCTGTCTCAAAATGGTGTGATCTCAGCTCACTGCAACCTCTGCCTCCTGGGTTCAAACGATTCTCCTGCCTGAGCCTCCCGAGTACCTGGGATTATAGGCATGTGCCACCACGCCTGGCTAATTTTTTGTATTTTTAGTACAGACAGGGTTTCTCCACGTTGGTCAGGCTGGTCTCGAACTCCCGACCTCAGGTGATCTGCCCGCCTGGGCCTCCCAAAGTGCTGAGATTACAGGTGTGAGCCACTGCGCCCAGCCTAGAAAAGAGATTTATTGTGAAGTTATCAGGTAGCTCATAGAAGTCTGGAGAATCAGGCTGAGAACATGGAGTGGGAGCGAGGAAGGCAGGCAGCAGGAACCACAGCTAAGGGTCCACTGTAGAAACAGCCTGGTTAGAAAGCTGCTGTTGGCACTGCTCCCCACACCGCTCCTACCAGTGGACCTTATCCTACTGGCACATACCCCTGCAAAGGAGCTCCAACCATCCTCACATGTGTTGTTTTGGTTTATTTGTTGTGGACTTCAGAGTTTAGTTAATCATAATCTGCAATTCATGGCACATTATCACCAGTTCACTGAAGGCTGCTCTTTTACTTTATTTGTTCTATTCTTCTTCTTCCCCATCAGTCCCTATCCTCACTCTCATTCTCCTGCCCAACTTAGTGAGCCTCTCCAGTGTAATTAATGTATGTATGCTTTCAATCCATCTTCCATATGTTTATTTATATGCATATCCATGAAAATACACAGTGTTGTTTTACATTTCTGTAAATGGAATTGTGCTATAAATACTATTCTGTTTCTTACTTTTTTCTCTCAATGCTGGGGATTTTAGAGATCTATCCATGTGGCTATATGTAAATCTAGTTTATTACTTTTGTTTTATAGTTTTCCATCCTATGAATATTCAGTTTGTTTATCCTGTCCTATGGTGGTGAACACCTGATTGCTTCTGATTCCTCACTACCACAAACAGTGCTGCAATGAACAACCTCAACTATATTTTCTTAAGACCTGTGTGAGAATTTCTCTGGAATATATGCCCAGAAGCAGGACTGCTGGGTTGTAGGGTATTCACATACTTAATTTCATGGGTGCTGCCAAACTCTCTCTGGAATACCCGTACCAGTTTACATTCCAACTCACGGTTGCCCTTTTCCTCACATCCTCATCAGCCCTTGATAATATCTGGCTTTCTACATGTTACCATTCCTGTAGTGACTTCTCATTATTATTTTAATTTCATTTCTCTAATTATTGGCAGAGTTGAAAAAGCTCTTAATATATTCAAGTTTCCCCTTGTATAAACTCAAGTTTCCCCTTCTATAAATTACTCTTCATATCCTATGCCCATTTTCCTATTGGGTTTACTATCTTCCTTATATATTCTCCTAATCTATCATCCTTTTGTTAATTTTGTATATTCCTGCCTTCTTTTTGTTGCTGGTTCCAGATTCAAGGCCATGAACAGAGTATTCAGCCCTTGTTGCCTGGCGGGCTGGGAAAGAAAATACCTGACCACCATCAGTTTCCATAGCGGGAAATAGGGCCATGCCTCCCAATTTGGGAGGGATTCCCTCAAAAAACAGCATGGGAAATTAGATGCTAGAGAACAGTAGAGTTCACTCCTTTGGTCATCCAACATCCACACATAGCCTTCTTCCCGTACTTATGCTTTTAAAAAAAGCTTCCACCTAATACAGTGCAAATATACCTCATATAAACCAAACATGCACCCATCCCCTTTCCAGAGTGAAAAAACCGAAAACATAAATTAGAATGCTTTCAGGGGCAAGCAATAGAAAACCCAACTCAAGCCGTCTTGAATAGTAAATGCAATTCATTGGCTCACTTAACTGAAGAGTCCACAGGCAGGGAGACTTCAGGCATGGCATGATCCGGAATATGGTTCCATTTCTGTGATTCTCTTGGCTCCGCCTCCTCCATTTTTCAGCTCCATCCTCAGGTAGGCCTTCCACATGTTCACAAGATGGCTAACAGCAGCAACCAGGCTACATGCTTCTTTGTTCTTATCCAAGGGAAGATAGGTCATCTCCTCCCTCAAAAGCTGAATAAAAGTCCTAAGCCTCATTGTGATTGGGTCATCCCTGAACCAGTCATCACTGTGGCTAGGAGGGTGAAATTACTCAGATCAGTTTATACCAATAAAGGCCTACACCTAGAGCTGGTGGTGGGGTGAATCCCACTCACATCCCATAGTTGTTACACAGCGGGAGAGGAGTGGAACGGATGCTGCAGAACAACTACAATGTCCACTACAAGGGAGTAAACTAAGAAAGAGGAAGATATGGGGTCCAAGAAAGATTGGGTCCAACCCAGAATAATGAAGGGACGTCCCAGGATGACAGCTGCACCGCAGGCCTACAGAGCAATCAGTCCAAATTGGAACAGGAAGACGGAGGACTCCAGGAAGAAGGTATCTGGGAAAAAAGGGGATTCAAATGATTTTATACTTTCCTTGAGAATTTGGAATAACTTAAGAAGGTGATAAAGTCAGACAATGCAAGGAAAAAAAGAAAGACAATTAGAAACTAAGGAAAAAAAGCTGTATAAGAAAAGCAATGTAATCCTAATATACTAATTGGATCTTTCTGGAACAACATTTACATCATCATCATAATGTAAACACTTTATTGCCCTTAAACTTTTAGAATGACCTACTGGCAAAGTACGGATGACTTAATTATGGTTATAAAACAGAGTGTAAATATTATTAACCTTGTTAATATAAAAGTAAAAGTGTAGATGACAAGTTACAAGAGAGAAAAGGGAGAGTAAGTCTATTAGTTAAAGGTAGAAAGATAAGGAATAGAGGATATATAATTAGTGACATGGCTATATTGGAGGCATGGGAAAGGCATTTGGGTGGTATAAATAGCAGGAAGTTAATAGAGAATGACTAAAATTGAACAATAAAAGTTGATAAATAGAAAAATCTGTACATTGGCTGAGCACGGTAGCTCACGCCTGTAATCCCAGCACTTTGGGAGGCCAAGACGGGCGGATCACCAGAGGTCAAGAGTTCAAGACCAGCCTGGCCAACATGGCAAAACCCCATCTCTACTAAAAATACAAAAATTAGCTGAGTGTGGTGGTGCACGCCTGTAATCCCAGCTACTCGGGAGGCTGAGGCAGGAGAATCACTTGAATCCAGGAGGCAGAGGTTGTAGTGAGCCAAGATCATGCCACTGAACTCCAGCCTGGGTGACAGAGCAACACTCCATTTCGAAAATAAAAAAGAAGAAAAATCTGTATATTATTCAGAGATATAAAGATAATTACTGGAAAAAACAAAAACAACAACAACAACAAAAAAAACCCCAAACAGTTAAAAGTAGACTAGTAGATTTCCAGGTCAAGATGATAGACTTACCATGTGTTTTTCTCCACTTCCTCCTGAGACCCTGCTAAAATCATTGTAAAGGATTAAAAAGGGTATAAATACACAATGATGAAGAGAGTGGGAACAGGTCCATCAGCAAAAGAGAGATTTCAACAAATTTCTGGAAGATAGGAAGTAAATGGAGGAATGGTGACTGATGGAGCATGGTGGAGGAAGCCACAGCCTGGAGTATGCACGGAGGTGATGCTTCAGAGGAAGAAGTTGCTCTTTCTCTGCAGAAGCCTGGAGTGTCTTGGTCTTGACAATGCCAGGTATGATGAAGGATGGGAGTCAAATGTGGGGCTGAAAATAGGGAGTTTAATGGGAAGGCTGCATATCAAACCATGAATCCTCCTTCCCCTCCCTTGTGCACAATTCACAGCAGCCAGGTATCTACCCATTAGGCAAAAACCAAAGGGTTCTTCGCTAAGGCAAATGAACAACCTCAGAGAAAAGACGTTAGCATTCTGGCATTCAGGGACTCTGCAGCATAGCAAGTTAGCTCTCTAGTCATCCTAAAGGAAGGCCACCAGTTGCCTAACCCTGCCCCCATACACAGAGCTTCTGATCAGATTTTTATTGCTGCATTCTTAAATATCAGCAAACAACTATGGATCACTAGGCATTTGAGAAAAGACTGCAACTTGAAAGAGACCAAAATAAGTAAACAAGGGAAAAAATAATCCAAATGAAATAGATATCTCAAAGAACAGAAAGAAATATAAAAATACCCTCTCTATTATTTTCAGATTCAAGATGATAGTACATCCATAAAACAAGAACAGCATGCAATAAGAAAGGAAAAGAGAACAAGAGTGAATACTAAGAAATTTAAAATGTGATTGCCACATGAAAAGACATGCAATAGAAGGGTTGAAAGATACAGTTAAGTCTTCTCTCAAAAAGTAAACAAAAACGAAAGGAAGACAGGGACAAAGCTAGGGAGGGAGGGAGGGAAAGAGGAAGGGAGCGAGAGATGGAAAATAGGAGAGTGGATAAAAAATTACAAAAGATAAATTCAGGAGATCTAACATCGAACATTAAGGATTTCCAGAAAGAGAGAATAAAGGAAATGGAGAAAAGGAATATGTCTTTAATTACAAAGACATAATATGTGAGAATTTCCCAGAGTTAAAAGACTTCTAAATGAAGGGATGTAACAAATGACCAGCACAATGAATGACAAAAGATCTGAAACATAAACACATAATTATTAAGTTTCAGAATACCAAGAATACAATTCTGAAAAAATAACAGGAGGCCAGTCGCGGTGGCTCACGCCTGTAATCCCAGCACTTTGGGAGGCCGAGGCGGGTGGATCACCTCAGGTCAGGAGTGCAAGACCAGCCTGGCCTACATGGTGAAACCTCATCTCTACTAAAAATACAAAAATTAGCTGGGTGTGGTGGCAGGCGCCTGTAATCCCAGCTACTCGGGAGGCTGAGGCAGGAAAATCGCTTGAACCCGGGAGGTGGAGGTTGCAGTGAGCCGAGATCACACCATTACACTCCAGCCTGGGGAACAAGAGCAAGACTTCGTCTCAAAACAAACAAACAAACAAACAAAAACAAAAACAAAAAAACAGGAGAAGGGATGGATGGAGTAGAAGTACTTTTCCCTATGCTTCCCACCAAATACAGCTAAAATTGAACTTGGACATTATGTATAAACACAAAAATCTGAAAGGTGGATAGAAGGCAACAAACCGGGTAGGGAACTTGGTAGCAGAGAAGTGACATACTGGTGAGTTCCCTGAGTTTGTTTTTTGTCTCATATATCCCAGACTTAGGGCTAGAGAAGCCAACAATTAGATAATAACTGCTCTAACACCACAGAAGAAAGCTGTAGTCCCACTCCTATCCACCAGCAAAGGCCAAGAGGGAAGCTTAGACTTCCACCCTTGCTAGCTGTAACTGGTTGTCCCCTCCCTTTCTGCTGGGGTGGTGTCAGAGAAGGTTGCACAGGCAGCTGGAACTCCCACTCCCACCTAGCAGTAACTAGGAAACCCTCTCCGTGAGGTATCAATAGAGAGTGAGTGGGGAATCTGGACTTCTACTCCCACCTGGCAGTAATGAGGCAATGTGCCCTCTCCATTGCCAGAGTGGTATCTGAGGAAGCAAGCTAAAATCGAGTATTTAAATAGCTCCAACGTCTCACAACGCAATACCAAAAATGCCCAGTTTCAATCAAAAATCACTCATCAAACCAAGAACCAGGAAAATCTCAACTTGAATGAGAAAAGATGCTCAATAAACACCAACATTGAGATGACAGAAATGTTAAAATTATCTGACAAGAGCTTTTAAGGAACTATCATAAAAATGCCTCAACAATTTGCTTAAACATGCTTAAAACAAGTAGGAACTGTCAGCAAAAAAATAGACGACATGAAGAAGAACCAAAAGGGAATTTTAGAACTGACAAATACAAAAAAATCAAAAACCTCAACAGATAGGCTAACAGCAAAATGGAGAGGACAGAGGAAAAAAATCAACGATCTTGAAGATAGAACAATAGGAATTACTCAATCTAGAAAACAAACCGGGGGTTAGGGGGTGGGAATGAACAGAGCCTCAGGGACCTGTGAGGCTACTATAAAAGATCTAACATTTGTGTCACTGAGGTCCCAAAAAGAAGAGAAAAAGTGATGGGGAAAGTTAATTATAAAGCAATGAGACTCAGACTGCTATCGCACATCTTATCATCAAAACTGAATGCTAGAAGAAAGTGAAACAATACCTTCAAAGTTCTGAGGGAAAATGACATTGCTCTTCAAACTTTATAGCCAAGTGTGAGGATGGAATAAAAATATTTTCACCATCCTGGCTAACACAGTGAAACCCTGTCTCTACTAAAAATACAAAAAATTAGCCAGGTGTGGTGGTACACGCCTGTAGTCCCAGCTACTCAGGAGGCTGAGGCAGGAGAATCGCTTGAACCCGGGAGTCAGAGATTGCAGTGAGCCAAGATCACGCCACTGCACTCCGGCCTGGGTGACAGAGCGAGTCTCTGTCTCAAGCAAACAAACAAAAAATATTTTCAGACATGCAAAGACTCAGGAAGTCTACTTCCTATACAACCTTTCTGAGAAACTTACTTGATGTGCTCCATCGAAACAATGGAACAAGCAAACAAACAAAACAAAAACCTTGGGAATGAGCAAACAGTGGATATAACCACAGAAAGCAGTGAAGAGAAGTCACAAGATGACAGCTATGCATCAGACCTTAGAAAGCAACTAGTTAAGATTTGAAAAGGAGATTGAGGGCTCTGGGAAGGTCTCCTGAGGGGCAAAAAGTAGACTTGATTGAATTCCTAATGGAGATTTTGAGGGAAAAAAAAAAAAAAGGAATATATGATAAAGAGGAAAAACAGAATTAGAAACTTCAGAAAAAATAGAAAGCTGCTACAAGGAAAAAGTATAAAAAAGTACATTGCTTTGCTCTGCAATGAAGAATACATAGTCATATTAACAGCTGTTTATTGCTTTTCAACTTTTAGAACCCAACTATAGACAAACATAAAAAAACTCAATTATGATTATGGAACAGAATTTAACGTTATGTTTTGACAATATAAAAGACCAGATGACAGAAGCTGGGAGGTTAATGGTGAGAAAGGGGGCTATAGGAAAGGATATTCTCTCATCTAACAAAGTTCTAGTTTAGAAGTATTGTCTGTAGTTCATGGAACAGGAAATAAAGGCATTACTCAATAACCCACAGAAAAACTAAACTATACTAGAAGCAGGAAGGAGTTGAACTTGATATAAATTATCTAAATCCTCATCTCTCAGCCCGAGCGCAGTGGCTCACGCTTGTAATCCCAGCACTTTGGGAGGTTGAGGCAGGTGGATCACGAGGTCAGGAGTTTGAGACCAGCCTGGCCAACATCATCAAACCCCGTCTCTACTAAAGATTCAAAAATTAGCCAGGCTTGGTATCGCACATCATTAGTCCCAGCTACTGGGGAGGCTGAGGCAGGAGAATCGCTTGAACCCAGGAGGCGGAGATTGCAGTGAGCCGAGATCGAGCCACTGCACTCCAGCCTGGGCAACAAGGGTGGAACTCTTGTCTCAAAAACACACACACACACACACACACACACAAATTAAAAAAAAAAAAAAAAAAAGAAATCCCCATCTCTCATAGCAGGACATCAACGGGTAATGTCTGAAAGTAATGATTTTTTAAATGCCCACATATTATGGAGGTATGGAGATAAAAATCAGAATAAATAACTAAAAGTGGTTGCGAAAAGTGAGAGTGGGGGTGGGGATGTGTGGGGCAGTAGACTTTTGCTTTTCACGAGTCCGTCTGTAGTGATTTGACTTTACTGATTTGAGTTTTCTAAATAAGGTACATGGATTACTTCTATTTTAAAACGAGAAAAAAATTTTAAAAAGGATACTCCTGCCCACAACCCTCCTCCCCCCAAATTCCCTTATCCCTCCAGACCTACTGTAGCAGAATATAATAAAGTTTGGGAAACCTTGCAGTCTCTCTTCCTGCTTCTCCCTTAGGTGAAGCCTCTTTGCTTTAGTCAAAATGGAGTATTTGTTAGCCCAAACAGGGAATATTTATTTTCACCTTCTTATTTTTATGTCTCCCAGGCC